TGACTGAATGTGTGCCGGTTTGAGCCCTAACATATGCTAATGAGGTCTCGAAGCAAACAAAGCATCTAAACAAATTCATCGAACTATTAGTTCTGATATGGATAAATTGAGCTGTACGGACTAGACAATCTATTAAGATCAAAACTACTCAAAAAAAATTAATTGAATAATGAGCTAAAGGCTATTTAACTAATTAATTATTCATCTAATAATATTGGGCTCAATCTCATCTTATGTCTCTTTTAGATCAAACCTGATCATTTTCGAATTAAATAGATGTGAATCAATCTTATCAACGAAGCATTGGAGGACTGGCTTCCACCATTTGCACTAGGCTAAAGATACTTTAACGAGAGAATTAAGTTTCAAGTTACTCAATTAATCTAACAAATCATGGCAAGAAGCTTCTAATGCACCTTCTCACGTACTATTGTCCAACCCATTTACCTTCCCCTCTCTTCATCAAGAAAACTTGGTCACACTCATGGCAATTCTTCAAGCGTCCTTCAAATTCTTCCTCCTTGTCTCCTTCGTAGAATCCATTGCTTTTGCAGAGCTTACACCGGACTTCTATGATGAAGTTTGCCCGGAGGCTTTGGACGTTATCAAGGAGATCGTCGAGGAAGCAATCGCCGCTGAGCCAAGGATGGGAGCATCCTTGTTGAGGCTACATTTTCATGATTGCTTTGTAAATGTGAGATTGTTCATCCTTGGTCTATGAAAATCGTATTTCTGACGGAAATTTTCATCTTGAGTGTACTTTTTAGTTAATTTGCTTGCATCGTAGCACTTGTTTATGTGATTTATGTTTGCAGGGCTGTGATGGATCGATTCTGTTGGACGACACTCCGACTTTCACGGGGGAGAAGACTGCGGGCCCCAATAATAACTCTGTTAGGGGTTATGATGTGATTGATCAAATCAAAATGGAGGTTAATACATTTTGCTTGGGGAACGTGGTTTCTTGTGCTGATATTGTAGCCGTTGCTGCTCGGGACTCTGTTTTTGCAGTGAGTCGCTATGCTTTAGCCTAATCGTAATAATAATTAATTAATCAGATGTAATTAAATAATTCGGTATAATGACTGAGTATAATGACTAGGTTGGAAATAGAAAGAATATTTATAAAATAGTTTCACACGTGTCTGTGGTTTGTTCAGATTTGAAAGATGATTTAGGAGAATTGGGTGTTCTCTGATACTTTTTTTTTTTGACGATAAAAACAAGGGATGTACCCTGTTCATTAAATAAAATAAAAGTAGCAAGTATATGTACAAAAAGAAGGATACGAACTGTATCCTTAAATGAAAATTAGTAGATAGAAAAATAGAATTTCCCAGACTAGGGATGTATAACCTTCTTCTCCTAGATATCCATGAAGATGAAGAGAGGTCCTTGACGTCATTCACCGTTGACATAGATATAAAGGAGAACCAAAGCCGACCATACATATAGTATTAGGAAATTAAATTTTCTATAAACTAATTAGAAAAAACCAAAAAGTCTGACTACAAAAGTATTATGAATTATGAAACAACTACTTCCAAATCATGAATACTCGAATTAAGCATGAATACTCGCATGATCTTATTCATTAAATTATCAAGTTTTTATTCACCCACTTATGTTACTAATATTTGGTCTTCCTGATCGATGTCTTTCTCAATGTTTAACCATTTTTCTCTTTTATCTCAAGGCATTATTCTCTAACTTATTTTGAGTCAGATTTTATTTATTAATTTACATAATCATTGTCAAGTAATAATTCAATAAGTTAGACATTTAATAAAAATTTTCATATTATTCAATTTACATTAATAAATCAAATAAATCGAGTCTAGGTATCCGAAGAATATAATTCAAAGATAATTTCACATACAGGTTCAAATTGAAAAAAAAAACAGATTAATTTATAACTCAAATTCGAAGATTTTAAACTAACACAAATATTGCAGCTAGGAGGACCATACTACCAAGTCCTCCTCGGCCGCCGAGACTCCACCACCGCGGGGGTATTACAGTAATTTGGTCCAGATGAGGGGGCTGCTGCATGCTGACCAGGAGCTGTTCAAGGGTGACGGAGGGGACGTGGAGGATTTGGTGCAATTCTATAGTGAAAATGTTGATGAGTTTTGGGGTGATTTTGGTGACGCTATGATTAGGATGGGGAATTTGAGTCCCTTGATGGGTGAGGATGGAGTGATTAGAGAGAATTGCAGGTTGACAAGTTAGTTAATTAGACAAAAAAAAAATGATGGGGCGTTTTAATTTCTTGGTTAGTGGGAGATTAATTAATGTTACGTGTTTGGTTAGTTGCTTGTAATTGCATGGAGAATTTGTTTATTTTTGGTCCTTGGTGTAATTGCATGGGACATATGCCTACTTTTGGATTAGGGTAAAACATGAGAATTTAAGATTTTTTTTTTCCTTTTGTGCAAATATAAAATTTATATAGTCATTGAGTTATTGAAATTTCTAAGCTCAAGTCTAACTCAAAAGTATGATTTATGAGAGGTCTATTTTAAGTGTGCTTCTCGTGGCAAAATATATATGTTATAGAACCTCAAGTTAGACATTGCAGTATTCAGCCAGAATAATGTTATTCAAGGAGGGAAACATTAAGGAGCATCTCCAACAGCTTTCCCATTTCTCAATTTTGGAGAATTTAGTTAGGTTTTTGGCCCAACAGATTCCCCATCTCATTCCCCAAAATAGTATGGAGGAGAAAAAATGGGGAAGCTTCCCCAAATCTGCAGCATTCTGCAAATTTTTGGAGGAAAAAATAGATTCTTCAAAATGGGGAAGCTATTGGAGTTGGTGTAAAAATTAGTTGGAGAATATGACTTTTGCTTTTCTATTTTGAAGAAAATTATGGAGAAGCTGTTGGAGATGCTCTAAGAAATTTTAGTACCATCTACGATTAAGGAGAAAACAGAAAAAAGAAAAAAAAAGGAGGTATTTAGCAATCGAGCGTGGCTCTAAAAAACGTTTAATTTGAACACTTTGGGCTTGAAAGGGATCCAGTACAAGAGGCCCAGTTAAAGCGTACTTCGCAGCCCACGATCTCTACCCGATTAGTTTGACAGAAAACGCACGAAAATGAAAAGCACTAAAAAAACACTTTGAAGCATGAATTTGAGGGTCCATTCTTTCCCTTTGGAAACCACCTGAATAGAGTTATTTACGCTAGCTATCTTATATTTCTAATTTATACATAAACCACCTACAAAATTAGTTTTCGTTTCCCATAAACAACCCGATCCCACGTTCTTTCTAAAATTTCTCTTAGATTCCAATAATGCCCTCAACTTTTAGACATTGATGTGGTTAGATACACGTGAAAATAGGTGAAGACATTGTTGGGATTTCAGATAAATTTTAGCAGCAAAATGAGATCATGTGGTTGTTGAAATGAGAACTAGCTTTATAGATGGTTTAGGTATAAATTAGGAATATAAAGTGGTTTGTGTAAAATAACTCTAAATATAAGGTGGTTTTAAGACAAAACCCTGAATTTTACATTGAAGTTCATGGTTAAATAACAGCAGAATTTAAAATTAGCTTATATGAAATTTGACTAGGAAAACAGGGATCAATTAAGACACGTGATATCAAGTAGTAGTCCACCGTTTGAAATAAAGGAAGGATTTTATTTTTTTACCTAAAAACAAATATTAGCAATAAAAGGCAGAAAGTTACTTAAAAAATAAGGATAGATCCCCCGAATATCATCCCAGCAGCATGTTAAGTAGCGGGTTCGGCACTTGAATAGTCCCACATCGGAAACAAACAACATATTAATACTGTTAAAGTAGCGTGCCGCGACGACACATGTCGAGCAGTGAGGATTTCTTGTGTAAATAGTGATAGAGTGGCTCCATCACGTATGTCTGATCTTCGGACGAGATCTACACATCTGAGCTCACATTTTTTGCTAATATTTATGCGAAGTATCTTTTGTCACTATAATCTATCGAAGAATAATACGGGTTTCATCATCTAACTTGTAAGCCCCACATTAAATTGTGGGTTGTCTCTGAACGTTGCCCTTTCTCGCATTTTGGATAAAACTAGTATAGTGCACGTGTGTTGCACGTGGACATATTAGTTTTATTTTCTAATACTTTACACAATTTATTATTTAATTAATGGAAGAGTTTCATATTGAATGTAATTATAACAACATTTGAATACTTATTTGTAATTTTCTTACAATTTAGATCATATACTTCTTTTAATCTTCTTAAGATTTAAGTTTTGAACAATATAGGGGTTTATTTGTAAAAACTATGAAGTTTTAGTATTTTTCTATAAATATATGAAATTTCAATGGTCTTTGTGAAAATTATGAAGATCCATGATTGTTTGTGAAAAAATTCAGGGTTATTTTGTAAACATTGGCAAATCATGGAATACTCAAAAGATACAATTTTTTTAATCTTAATAATGAATGACATTTAATAACTACTGGTAGTTTTATGTGCAAATTTAGAATATAGTTTTAACAATAGGGAGATTATTATATACTTATTATATAAAAAATTTACCCAAAAGACAAAAATTCTAAGTTTGTTCTTTACTTTTATGTTAAGTGTGTCGTACTATTCCAGTTTATATTAATTATCTTTATTTTTGCTAATCCATTATAACAAAATAAAATTCTCACTTTCCCAGTTTATATTAATTATCTTTATTTTTGCTAATCCATTATAACAAAATAAAATTCTCACTTTCACATTCTCTCTCTTCTATTATCATATAATTAGTATAATCCATTATAACAAAATAAAATTCTCACTTTCACATTCTCTCTCTTCTATTATCATATAATTAGTAACGTGCTACAAAAAATATATCTACTAAGTTCATGGATAATACAATATTTCTCTTAAATCACAATTAAGTACATAGTAATAATTATAGAAATAGGAAAAAAAATTCATTAACCCCCCTCCCCCCAAATTAGACCTCAAACTTTAGCCTCAATCCGAATTCTCCACATTTCCTTGTATCAATCGTATCCTCAATCCGTATATAGCCGTCAGTCTAACAATCACATCAGTATAAAGTATAATCCGAGTAAAGCTCAGTACTTCGTCAGCATAACTTCAATCATCTTCACCCCCTTGTCGTTATCTCTTCTGAAGGGATAATGTTTTCACTGGCGAGCTTGTATCATCCATGTTTTCACTGGCGAGCTTGTATCATCCAAATAATATCATAGTAAAGCCATAGGGTGAGTATGAGATGATGTTAGGGTTGTAAGAGGTGAGTGTAAATCTAAATCATCAAATGAGTGAATTTATATAGGTTGCAAGTAAGGGCTATTATGATAAATAAAAAAACAGGCTCTTTGGATTCCGTAACAGTCAGATGTAATTGCCACTTAAATAAAAACTATAATTAAAAATGTAACTCTCATTTTAAGTATGCATGAATGCATGAACTAATGGCATTTTAAGTTGACAATTTGTTTGCAAATTGAAACGTATATTATTAGTTTGTCATATGTGCGTTTTAAGTGGAGGGGTTACAAAAAATAGAAGTTAATATTAGTGGACAATTAATAGGAGAGTTATATCATTATTAAGAATGTAAGCATGTAAGCATTTTAAGTTGACACTTTGTTTGCAAATTAAAACGTATATTATTAGTTTGTCATATGTGTGTGCATTCAATTCTCAGCTATTATGTCAAATACAACTTACAATCTTAAAAAAAATTTATGATAACATTAATATTGGATTAGTGGAGGGGTTACAATTTATAAAAAATAGAAGTTAATATTAGTGGACAATTAATAGGAGAGTTATGTCATTATTAAGAATGTATGCATGTATATGTATGTGTTTATATGTATGTAAATTTTTTATGATAATATTAATATTGGATTAGTGGAGGGGTTACAAAAAAATATAAGTTAATATTAGTGGACAATTAATAGGAGAGTTATGCCCTTATTAAGAACGTATGCATGTATATGTATGTATTTATATGTATGCAAGTATGTGTTTTATGGATGCATGTATGTGGTTTGAAGGGCATTTTTGAAAGAAATGTTTTAACATACCAACACACTTTTATAATAGTATTAGATATTAGATTATGACTTTTAAAATAAAATTATTTGAGAGTTATGAGTATGCATTTAATTGGGGGTTATGCTAGTATACCATACGTGCGTTGCACGTGATGCATATTAAGAAACTACATGAGTTTAAATATTTGTACACCAAGTAATTTTTTACTCACCAAATTATGAACCCCACATAACTATTTAAAATCTTCTTTGATAAAATTCAAAATTAACAAATGTCTGAATAAAATAACAAATACAAAGAAAAATGAAAGAAGAACATTAATTTTCTATTAAAAACTTAAAACATTAACACTACAGACTTAACGTCAAAGTTAAATGATACCACCACTTGACAAAAACATGCAAGTAATAGATGACTGCAAAAATCAATGAACCTCACATGACAAAAGCATGCAAGTAACATCGAATCAAATTAGCTGTATATTCTTTACTATAAAAATAGGAAATTCTTTTTGGAAAAGTGATCAATAAAGCTAATGCCAACTTGCATGTTGATGGCTTCCCAATTTAAAAAAAGAGCAAATTACCAGAAAAACTTTCATTGTTACATAGGATATGTTTGATTCATAATAATACTTTAAACAAACAAACACTATTTAAAATGTATTTATTAAAATCAACACAGGTGCAATATCCTCGACATAATAGTTTAAATAAACATAATTAAGTGTATTCATCATAATGCTATAAATGATGTATCACTTCTCACTTTCTATTTTAATATTTTTACTATTCATGAACTTTCTTTTGTTCATATCTTTTTTCAGGCTTGTCATACTCTTTCGCTTCAGTGAAATGTCCTTTGAATCTTCATCTCCATCACATTCTATTGGTTCGAAATTTGGGCTGCATATTTCTTGAGCGGTTATTCTTCCTTCAATTCTTTTCTCTTCATCTTTCCTGTTCATTTTTACCAAGAAAATATATTCTTTGTCGCAACAGCTCATCATTTTCTGGTACATAAGTGATAAGTGCTTCTGCATTATATTTATGGTCATTTTTTCTATTTTACTAATTTACTAATTTTATGGAAAAAAAGCTTTTATATATTTGAAATAAATAATGTTATATTACCTTTCCTTCTTCATCAAATGAATCTACATATTCTTCAGCTGAACAACCAATTAGAAACCGAGCTTCATTGAAAAGTGTAACATATGCCTTGTCGATATGATCTTTAACTTCCAATCGCGTAAGGTACCTTGATGTGAAAATTTAATGTTATTTTTATTTTTTATAAATAAAATTAAAAACTTACTTTATTTCCCATTCCGCATCTTCAGTATTGCAATTGTTGCAGTTAGCTATGTTGTCTTCAACAAAAACCTTTCTTTGACAACTCTTGCATGCGGTGTAACAAGGTGATTCTGGATTGATTATTGCTGATATCTCCGCTTTAAAGTAGGTATAAATATTCTAAAAAATAGCAATCAAGTTATAAATTCAAAATTTATTATTATTTATCTTGTTAATATCTTAACCAATATAATAAAATACCTGTTTTGTAGCTGTTGATGATGTGATGATATCACCAAGCATAACCTTCTTAGACCTTCTCATTAGCTTCGATGGGGTCTGTTGCATTAGTTTCTTATAATTTTTCCCCTTCCCTGTCATCCTATATTTAAGACATGTATTATTTTTTTTTTTCAAAATTATATTAGGAAGGATTTTATTTGCATAAGCATTACCATTCTTTAAGAGCGTGTGCTTCAGTAATATTTGGGTCTATCAAAAATATTGTTGCAGGCTTTGATGATAGTTGCGGAACTCCTGTATTCATTATATGGTTACTTTTTGGTTATATAAATTTTTTAAAACAATTAAATTGAAAAGTCTTACCCATATATCTATTTGCAGTAACATTAATTATTGCTATAATTGGTTTTTGTTTTTTCTTGTGTTCGAATACTTGACCTTCTTTCTCTGCATGCTCTCCCTATAATGTTAATACCAATGGATCCATCCTGTGTCAATTAAAAAAATTGTTAAATGGATATGTTAGTATTTTAATATTTGTTATTGAAAAATTATTTCTTATTTAAAAACACTTACTCTTCATTCATTATTGTGATCTCCCTTCTAACTGATGTATTTGTTGTGTACAACGGTCTCACTGAAGTGATGAATCCTAACACATCTGTATAAAGATTAAAAATTTAGTGCTTAAAATTTTAATTTTGTATTACAAATGCTATGTTATCAAAATTAAAAATTTAGCATACCAAAAAATATATTTTCATTATTTATCTTTGTCACCTCTTCGAATCGCTTGAATGAAAATGGTAGGGTACCGATATTGATTTCCTTTTCGGATACTATAAATTTTGTGTTTTGTTCAAAAGTAAGCTCAAAATTCGGATTCACCGATGCATATTTCCTATTTATAGGCCTGACTATACCATTCTTGATGATAATGGTATTGTTGAGATGGATGTATTCCTCAAATGTTGCTATTGTAGCATTGAATAGTGTGGCTTGAATCTTTGTTCCCTGTATTTATTTTTTGTTACTTAAACTTTAAAATAAATTACCAGTTAAGTAAAAGTTTAATGAAATTCAAATGTAATAATAAATATTTCATTTGAAGAGTTGTACTTACCTCTTCGTCAATCAAAATAATCTTTTGAACATGACCTGAACCTTTTGACGATGAGAATTGCTCCAAGGACACTTTTAGTATAAGCACTTTGATTGAGAAAGATTCTTGATATAACTTCAAATCCTTAATGAAGCTGTATTCACCTTTACGTTGTCTTTCAGCAGTCATCTTCCCTGTAACCATAGTAAATATTAGAAATATAAAATAAAGTAATTTTTACAAATTATAATAATGGTATTTATTTTTTTCACCATCTTCTTATTGCAATATTTATTGCTATAAAATAATTAAATTTAATTTTGATATTCTTGTTATTGACATTTATTTAAAATAAATAAGTTAGTCATTTAAATTTTTTTTCTAACCTTTCTCTGGATAGAACTTCTTTGTAGACGATATTTTTGGTGTATGTATATCCTTTCTTTTGTTTTCTTTCGCCTTTAACCAGCACTCTTGTATTGTTTGTTGATAAACCACGAGATAAAGCAACGTATAATTGTCCATATGAAAAAACATGGTGTGGTAAATAAATACCCACTGTGCGAATTGTTTGTCCCTGTGCTTTGTTTATTGTCATTGCGAAGCATAACCTTATAGGAAATTGTTTTCGTTGAAATTTGAAAGGGTAATTTTCATTTTCAGCTGGTGATAATGGTATCCTTGGAATCATGACTTCTTGACCCGCATGATGACTTTTTGTTATTTCTGCTTTAATAACATTTTTATCAAATTCTTTGCAAACCATTCTAGTTTCATTGCAAAGTCCATTTGATGGGTCAAGATTTCTAAGCAACATTATCGGGCAATTCTGCTTCAGCTTTAGCTTGTGCGGTGGAAGACCATTAGGCATCAACTTGTTTAAAAATTCTTCTTGGTAGTAGTTATTTGGACCATCAATAGCCTTGTCAAAACTATGGAAAATAATCTCATCATCAGGAAATTTATCCAAAAGCTTGTCATTGAGCTCATCTACATATTCATTTTTTGTCGTAAGAATAGCTCGTTCTGTCATATATTCAGCTGAATTTGAATTTTGTTCAATTGATGGAAATACTTGGTTTAGCAATTCAACTTCCGATTGTCCATTTTTGCTATCTTCAATCACAATACTTTCAGGAAGTCTAATTAGTTCATCTTTAGTTGTTTTTTCTGTTTCATTTCCGACACGCAGCAAGAATTTACTGATTTCTTCATCATTTTTTGCTCTTATGTTTACTTTTAATGTTATCTTTTCTATCTTTTCCCACAAATAAGACTTTACTAAGCTGGCATTAACTGTTTGACTCCTTGTTCCTCTTGGAATAACTGGCAACACTTGACGAAAATCTCCTCCAAAAACTACTACTTTACCACCAAACAATTCTTTTGTACTCAATAGGTCTTACATTGTACGATCTACACTTTCAATTGCTACTCGTTTTGCCATAGGTGCTTCATCCCAAGTTATTAGTGCTGCTTTTCTAATCAAATGTGCAGTACCTTCCTATTTAGATATATTGCAAACTGTTGTCTCAGTGGCATTAATAGGTATCTTAAACCGTGAATGTGATGTGCGTCCATCAGGTAGTAAAGATGCTGCTACTCTTGAAGTTGCAGTTGCTAGTGCAATCATTCCTTTTGATCTGACATTTGCAAGTATAGTTTTGTACAAGAATGTTTTTCCCGTCCCTCCAGGACCATCTATGAAAAAAAACTCCTCCCTTATTCATATTAACTCTGTTCATTATTATTTCAAAAGCTTTTCTTTGATCTTCATTTAATTTGTACTTACCATCTATATCTTCCTGACAGACTTCAACATCTATCTCATCCTGTATGATTCGTAGATTGAATGATGGATTATCTATTTTATCCTCTTTAAATTTAGGTAAATCAAAATCTTGTATTGTCTTCCCCATGCTCTCCAGGAAATAATTAACTCCCTCTAATGCCCATGCAGTTTGTTCTACATCTGTCGCTATAGATCTTTGAACGAAATCTTCAGACATTGCTGGTCTATATCTATCCCATAATAATCTGACATTTTTTGGTTGACAATAAACCAGAATAGTTGCAAATAATCTTCTTAATGCGTATGGCATCTTGAAATTTACTGATTCATCCAAGCATTCAACTATACTATCGTCGGATTCTAAGAGTCCTCTTTTCTGTGCAGACTCTTTAAAAGTCTTCAGAAGTAATCCATCAACAGTGAGTAGGTCATCCCAAGAAGTAGGACCTTTAACATGATTTAATAAAAGCCTTAAATAATATCTCTCCCCCTCTATAGGATTTGCTGAATTTATTCGTCCAATCACGGCCTTTTTTCCCCTATCATTCCAACATTTCTTTCCTACTACCCACACATAATGTTCAGGAAATTCTTTGTACATCAACATCCTTGCTTTTTAATCTGAAGCATATTTTCTAAAGAATTCTGTAAGCATTGTCTTAGATGTGTGCTCTCACGTCATAATATTTCGAAGATCTTCATTATTCCAATAATAAACATTTTGCTTATTTGGAAGATGTAATTGGAGGTTAATAACAGGGGGTTGTATATCATTCATCTTAAATTCAAAAATCCGCCAAATTGCTTCTTGTGCTGATACCCATCTCGCTTCTTGGTATTGTTTGATCTCATCTACTGGATGTGTTGCCTCATTTGATGCAATGCACACAGCTGCTTTGTCATGCCCTTTGTATATATATTTATAAAGATATTTTACAGCTTTAAGTCCAGAGCATACTTCAACATTGACATGATAATTATACCTACTTAATAGGTAAGGATTGTATGGAACAAGCCATTGATTGTCTAAATTTGTGTTACGTACAAAAATTTTCTTTCCATCATTCCTTCGCATATATATTGGATAGCCATCACCCCCTAAACTTGTCTTTGAACAAAAAGGACGTGGGTAGTGATATTTATATTTTCCATCAACCATGCATGGACTTGTTTTCCTCAACGATCCACAAGGGCTATGAACCATATATATGTTTTACCACCTTCACATGCAACATTGGAAATAGTGATTGATCTGGTAATTCTGCCGATATAAATTTATCAAAATGATCTGGGCTCATTAGCTTATATTCATGTTTCAAAATTAATAATATATGAGCATGTGGAAGTCCCCTTTTCTGAAATTCAATGACATACACACGTGCAGCTACTTTACCAAATACTTCTTTCTTAAATAGCTGGTCTTTAAGATCCTCTATTTTCCGTCTAAAAACTCTAGAAGGAAGATCTGGTCTATCCTGTGCTGATTTTCCATTTAGAAGCTCATTTCTTATTTCATCCCAATCTGGATTACATGTTATTGTAATGAAGAGATCCGGTTTACCATATCTTTGAACAAGAGCCATAGCGTCCATATAACGACGCCTCATATCTCTTGGTCCTCTAATGAAAGATGGTGGTAAAACAACTCTATGTCCAACTTGATCTCCACGTGTTTCCCCAGCAGTAACACTATCAACAATTCCTTGATACAATTCTGCTCTTATATTCGATTGTTGTTTTCTAAAGAAATCAAGTCGCGTTGTCTCTAACTTCACATACATGTCCACAACAAACTGTTAAAATAATCGTCCAGCAAGTAGCAGAATTGATTTTATTGGATTCCAAATTTGAAGCTTGTAGCAATAATACTCCCTACAAGAAACATATTGCCCTCCTTGTCTTTCGATATCTGTTATAAGCTTAAAATTTTTTAGAAATTGATAAGATATGATATATTTTACTTATGAGATTAAAATTTGGCGTTGGTTTTACCTTGTGATTCCTCCTCATTAAGCTGTCTAGCTAAATCCAATGTCTGAATTTTTTCGGTCATATTTAATTGTATTCTTTCATTCCGACCTTTGTAGATAAACTGTTGCCACCCACTTTCACCATTTGGAAATAAAATTGGATATTGTAGAGGATCATAACAACTATAATAATGTTTGACTTGATGCCTTTGTCCAGAGTGCTCTTGTATTATAATCTCTCTATTTAACGGTTCATTTGGATTGTATCCTTCTATCCAAATTGCTGCCACTTGCTCTGCTGTTGGAGAGTTATAAATCCTTTGATTAAGATTTGTGTTCTTAGATATATAGATTTGTAATTCTCTCAACGTTGGTACATCTTTAAGCCTCCGTAGAATTTTCGCATAAGGATTGTCTTCTAGGATTTTCATTATAGTCTTCATTGTATTTTCTGATAATTTCCCTTCTTGTAAAACATTCATCCTATTTTGCAATTCATTATCCGTGTCATAAAAATATAACTGGAAGAAGTGAGGTCTATCATTTTGTGGTATCAATCCAGGCAAACTATGGTAAATCTGACCTTGTGCTCTAAAAGTGTATATTCCATCCCTTGACGATGCCAAGTTTTTATCAATTGCTACCCCAAATGAGGTGAATGAGAAAACACTATTGTATGCTCTAATGTTTTTCCTAAACTCAACACCCTCATTACAATCCGATGTTAGCAAGTTATATAATTCATCTGGGATACAAGGTTCCACAAGAACTGTTTCTTTATTATTACAGCAAAAAGATGGACTCTCATATTCAAATTTCATTGCTCCACAATAGATGCAACTTGCTATCTTTCCAAGCTGGTGTAGTTCTAAACAAGACGGCCTTGATATATTTGTTCCTATACAATTATAATATGTTATTAGTTAATTTTGTATATTGTAGAAACTTAAATTATTATATTTATAAACTTATCAAAGCTCACCGTTGCATTCAACTTGGTAATTTGATGCTCGTTCTAGCTAACGTGCACTTCTTTTCATTGATTGATCTTCTGCATTTGGACTACTATCCATAGTCCTCTTTAATCTCTTATTTCGACACATCCTTCTAATATAAGCTTCTCTTTCCTTATTAGTTAACGCATTGTAGTAATTTTTCCTCTTCATTTTCTTCGATGCTATTGATAAATTTTTATGAATATAATAGAATTATTTGTTATTGATTATCTGGAGGATGCATTAGAAAAATTAAATTTGTTCGACTAACCTTCATTTGGTTCCATTTGTTTTTCCAATTGTTTTTCACACAAACTTGTGAGAATATGATTTGAACTGCAAAAAAATTAAACATTAATTTATTTTTCATATTAATCTAGTACATACATATAATAAACTTAAAATTTAAATTTTAAATGTTTTGAATTCATTTATTATGTGTGAAATTTCATAATGTAGTTAAATTCAATTAGTTAACATAGTAATTGCACACTAATAAAACTAATGTTATAATTAATATAAATGTAGTTAAATTCAATTAGTTAACATAGTAATTGCACACTAATAAAACTAATGTTATAATTAATATATGAAGTATATAAAGCATTACTTTTGAAAAGGAAATGTACCTTGTTTTCCTTGCTGTAATTGTTGTTTGATCTTAATCTTGCATTCTGACAAAAATATCAAAAATAAAAAGTTAGTACAACCATATATGAAATTAAATTTCTTTGGTTTAATTATTATTACGAGGCATATTGTTGTTCGACGTCAAATATCTTGCAGTCCATTATCCCATACTTTATTAATATCTGCTGAATCTTAAATGTTGTGTAATTTTGGTTATTAAAAAGTCAACCATGGAAGCATATCAGAAAGTAAATCCTATCCTAGGTTGTGGAAACCCGTAGGAAATGATAGTTTGTATGGGGAAGGATGTCAACAATGACTGATAAACATCCATTTATTTAACATTAATTTACGTAAGGTTTTAATATGATACTCAATGTTGGTTTTAATAATAAAACATAAGGGATGGATAGTATCATACAATAACGTGTTTCACTTGAATAAAATAATCAAGTAAGATGAATTGATAAGCTGCTTTATTGTCATATGATATTGGGCTAGAAATAAAATATTCCACTTGAATAAAATAATTAAGTAAAGTGGAAAGGATGAGCTGCGCCTTAAGTAAGTAACATCAACATAAATATGAATATGAATATATTCTAAATGTAAATGATCCACATCCCTCATATAATAGTACATAATAGTACAGACTCTCATAGTAATGACATATTTTAGTTCATACATTTACTCATATAATTTCACTAAATGAGTCATTTTCATTGTTACAATTCTCGTTTTAAAATGCTAATGAAGATATTGAAATATATAATTCAAAGAAGGCATAATTTCATTATGAATGGATGGGATCGATTCAAGTAATTAATAGTAGTAAACAACTATTTATTTTACATTAATTTACAGAAGGTTTTCTGCTTTGATGATATCTGGTGAAGCTGTTGCAAGTACAAACTATATAAAGTATTATTTTTGTAAAGGAAATGTACCTTATTTTCCTTGTTGTAGTTGTTGGTTGTTTTTAATCTTGAGACCTAGCTTTATACCTAGATAAAAAAAAAATTAAAAGTTAGTATTATATTTTATGCATTTGTTCAATGTATCAATTGTTCAATTTTATATTAAAGACCTACAAAAGGTCATAACATTTCATACATAAAGAAACCTTGTGAAGCTCTAAAGATGAACTAATAACTTTGAAAACCATATCTTATCATAATCGTAATCATAAATCATAAATCATAATTGTCTAAAATTGAAGTATCATTAATACTTCACACAAATCCATATCATTCATAAACCTGATGGTAAAGAAATATAAAGAGGTAAACATAAGTTTTTTCACATAACTTAAGCTAATTAAAACAACTGAAATTTATAAAATATTCCAACAACATGATTCAAAAACTCATAGACCTTGATTTATTTTATTGACTTGACATTTATTTTTCTAATACTTGTCTCAACTCATTTTTTCTTCTCCTGACGAAATTTCCATATAGCTACTAGAATTTCCATAGCTTTAGCAAACAATTTATCTGCTTCTTCTTCATCTTTGATTTTAACAGCAAAAGGGACATTAACTTCAGGAGTAGCAGGAGCATCTTCGCTAGGTACATAATCTGGATCTGAATTTTCAACCTTCACTTTTTTGTTAACTTCAAAAGAGCTCTCATCATCATCATGATCATAATACTCTTCAATGGAAGGTTCTTCTTCATCATCATTTGATGAAATTTCTATAATTTCATTGTCATTAACAAACTTTTTAAATTCATAATGTTTAGGAACTGATTTCCGGGCAGTGCGTTTCAACAACATCTGTTATGAAACCATGAAAGGAATATTAATATAACTAAGTCTTGACATTATAGAGATCATATTGGCTGCCACAAATACTATAATAACATGATAAAGCAAGGAATTATTGTTAAATGGAAGGTTCATGTAAATTTCAATCAAAATATAACTTTGTTGTACACAGTCATCCCTACATTAAAAAGAAAGTAACTTCTAATATCAGTAGGAATGGAGTCAAATACCAAGTTGGGGGATATTTAGCCCCACCTCAGTAGATTAATTTGGTATTTGACTCCACTCCTACGGATATAGTGTGGAATCCTAGTGCATATATTCAGTATGTTGTTGCTGCAAGGTAGAATTCTGAACTGGGCACCATTGGGCATGTTTTTACTTGACTGCGTATTTTTTGAGTTCTAAGATGCCAGATAATTTCTCTAGGTATTCAAACATATTTGTCACTGCTCTGAGGCCTGAGAAACTTAAAACTCTATTTGAGTTTGTCTGCAAAGGATTGAATTCGTTGGCGTTTTGAGTTAAATTGATGGAAGTAAAGATTAGATATAAATTAGGGAAGTTTTCTTGACAAAATATTAATTAGGAAAGTTAAAAGGTTGAAAATCTACAAATCTGCCAAGTGCAAACGCCACAACCAGAGGCTCTCGTTTTAGTAATATATATAGAAATAGATAGATAGACAGATAGATAAATAGATATAGATGGTAGAGTTGAAAATTCAAGAATCTGAAATTTTTCAAGGAATCCATATCCAAAGGAAAAATATTTCTTTAACTTAATTAAGAAACGACCACTGAAGACTGCAGCAAAAACTTGAGTATATCCACAACGGTGTCCAAACAACACTCTGATAGAGTAAGATAAGGCCCTTCGATTCATGAAATGTTTACCAGTAGCCAAGAGGATATTAAAAATATAAAGAGGGAAGGAGGAAAATGTGAAATTGCAAAGAACAACTTGTACTTGTTGAATACGTAAGAGGAAAGCACAAAGAACATGCATAGCTTTACAACATCCTAAATTTTAAGCAGAGACAGATGATAAAAAAGGGAAAGCACAAAGAACATGCATAGCTTTACAACATCCTAAATTTTAAGCAGAGACAGATGATAAAAAAGGCAAAAAGAACAATCTGAAAGATAGAATTAAGAAGAAAGGAAAATTAAGGGAAATAACCATTGTTGGTGTTTAATGATTCATGCAACTAAGGAACCTTGGAGCATTTGTTCAGGCAGATGGTACTTTGAGTTATGATCAATGATCAGAACCGTCCTAGATGCAAATTATTCTTTTTGTCAGTTGAAGAAATGGCTGACTGCTCATATTGATACTTTAAGTTAAAGTATCCTCACATTCTAATTCTTGAGTTTGGTCAGTGAAATGGCTGACTGCTCACATTCTAATTCTTAAATTAAAGTAATATTTTAAATTTCAATTCAAGTGTTTTAACATATGCAAATGCCATCTTACCTTAATATCAAGAACAACTTGTACTTGTTGAATACGTAAGAGGAAAGCACAAAGAACATGCATAGCTTTAGAACATCCTAAATTTTAAGCAGAGACAGATGATAAAAAAGACAAAAAGAACCATCTGAAAGATAGAATTAAGAAGAAAGGAAAATTAAGGGAAATAACCATTGTTGGTGTTTAATGATTCATGCAACTAAGGAACCTTGGAGCATTTGTTCAGGCAGATGGTACTTTGAGTTTTGATCAATGATCAGAACCGCCCTAGTGTTGCGCGCAGCGGAAATTTCGGCAGCACTTCGACAGCACAACAAGAGAGTCAGATCGCAATAAGAATTCTCGTCTCACCAAGGAGACCTTCAAGAACATCCCGAACGAAGTGATAACGAACGTCAATGTGCTTCGTCCTCGCATGAAAAACCTGATTCTTCGCCAAATAGATAGCACTCATGCTATCACAATGAATAGTGACGGACCTCTGCGATATACCAAGTTCCTCCAAAAGTCCTCGAAGCCAAATAGCCTCCTTTACAGCCTCCGTAACTGCCATATACTCTGCCTCCGTCGTAGACAAAGCCACCGTCGACTGTAAGGTGCATCTCCAACACACCGGCGCACGGGTCAAAGTAAACACATACCTCGTAGTAGACCGGCGCTTATCCAAATCCCCGGCATAATCCGAATCAACGTAGCCAATGCACAACTGCCCACCTTTAGTGTCCCGCTCATAAGCCAAACCAACATTGAGCGTACCTCGAACCCCATTGCCCTAGGAAACGAATAATATATATAGGCTTCAGAATCGGGTGGGCCTGCATCGCGTGATTGAAACGAAAAACAAGTGCTCACGCGGTTTCTTTTGTGCTGCTTGCAGTACTCACGTGGGAGTGGCCCACTAATCAATCCCACGAGTTCACAATTCTCCATCTCGGTAAAGTTTTTCCAAAACTGAGCCGACACCAAAGCAACCAAATGTCCCACTTGTTGTGTCCAGTACAGACTCAATCCACAACAAGTCGAGAACCCAAACGAGAGTCCAAACAATCTCACCCCCATCAACTAATCCAAACCGGCTGCATCAAACATGACTGCCTACGTATCCTCTTGCCCAAGGAATCAAGCCGAACGTAGTTCACCCAAATGGCCGCCAATGGCCTCAACAATCACGAATGTGCAACAAGTCTCGACAATGATCAAACTTGTTGCTCGGAACCACCTTAGTGAGCATATCCGTCGGATTATCCTTCGTGTGGACTTTCAAAATTTCCACATCACCATCTTCAAGAACATCCCGAACGAAGTGATAACGAACGTCAATGTGCTTCGTTCTCGCATGAAAAACCTGATTTTTCGCCAAATAGATAGCACTCATGCTATCACAATGCATATGAAAGTTAGTGCACACAAAATATAAATTGTTATCATCAAAACATTATCATGGAGAAATGATATTCAACAATACTTACCGCCTGTGACAAATCTGGCCTCGTACATACCATCGCGTACATCAAGCTCCCAACCGCGCTCGCATATGGAGTCTTCGACATCAACTCACGATCTTCAACTGACTTCGGTGAGAGACCAGCTGAAAGCTTCAAATGGGCTCCCAATGGTACACTAACTGGCTTCGTATCCATGCTAACATGGAATCGCTGTAGAACTTTCTTCAAATAAGCCACCTGTGTCAAACAAATTCTGCCATTTTTCTTGTCTCTGCCGATCTCCATCCCTAAAATGCGCTTCGCCTCGCCCAATTCCTTCATCTCAAACTCATTTGAAAGCTGAACTTTCAACTCATCTATAGCCGACCTGGAAATAGAGGCAACCAACATGTCATCGACATAGAGCAACAAATAAATATACGCACCTCCTTTCAACTTGCGAAAATATACGCAAGGATCAAACTGGCTCCGAGTGTACGAATGACCAAGCATAAAACCATCGAATCGCCTATACCACTGTCGAGGAGACTGCTTCAAACCGTATAGCGATTTCTTCAGTTTGCAAACTAATTTTTCTTTCCCTGCAGCTCGGAATCCCAATGGCTGAGTCATATATATTTCTTCATCAAGATCACCATGAAGAAATGCCGTTTTCACATCCAACTGATCTAATTCCAAACCATACTGTGCCACCAAAGCTAGCAAAATCCGAATCGAAGAATGCTTCACCACCGGAGAGAAAACCTCATTATAGTCAATACCTTCCTCCTGTGCATAGCCCTTCGCAACCAACCTAGCCTTGAATCTCAACGGAGTGCCTTCAATGCCCTCCTTCTTCGTGTATACCCACTTGCAACCAATTGCTTTCCGCCCCTTTGGAAGCTCAACAAGCTCCCATGTATCGTTCTTATGAAGAGATTCCATCTCCTCCTGCATAGCCACCTGCCACGAATCAGCCTCCGAACTCTGCTCGGCCTCTCTGAATGTAGTAGGCACTAACTCATCGATACTCTCCACCGGAAGTGCATACGCAACTGTGTCGGCATACCGTGCTGGCATCTGTATGTTTCTCCTCTGTCTCCTAGCCGCAATAGAATCCTGAACCTGAGCCGTCGGTTCCTGATCCTGCACATTTGTACTCGTATCCTCCGTGTCATCGTCGTGCTCGCCTGGCGTCACCTCAGTCGGCACCTGCATGGATACTGTACCATCTGGACAATGTGGAGCTGCATCGATCTCCACCACCTGCGATATCTCCTCCGTCGGGTCGCTCTCCACCTGATGAGAGCTGGGAAGCTTCAAGATAGAAGCCTCATCAAATGTGACGTCCCTACTCAGAACAA